ATTAAAAGAACCTTTATATGGGCATTTAGCCATCCGATGCAGCCTTTAGCATAAGAAGTAAGCTAATGGTTGCTTCAACTTGAAATTCAATGCATTGTTTGCTTCTCATAAACTCTCGCATTGTTCTCATTTGCACCAATTCTCAAAGCTCATTCGGGGGCCATATACTCCATATTTTCAAGGCAGAATTGGTTTTTGAACTTTTGCTTAAGATCTACTCAAGTTTTAATAAGACATTCATCATTTATGAATTTTGAATGCCACCATAGCCTGGCATATCAAGCAAGGTACATTGAAGCCATTGCAACCTTATCCTCTTTTGATTTTGTGTGTACAATTTAAAAGTATTTTTTTATGCCAAAAAATAAATTCTCAAGCTCTTTGGCATCTTTTACCCCTTCATAACATCGAGGCTTCGCCATTTTGCCCATTTTCCTTTTACCCATTGAGTTAAAATTGGACTTGACCATAGTCATTTATAACGCACTCACTTGGGCCCTGAAGTCCTCAAACTCTCTCTAAATGACACTTAAGGCATATTTGGTCTCATCATCCAAGCTATACAGAGTATCAAACAACTCTCACTAAGCTGTCTTAATCTCTTTTAGTCGATTATGAGTTACCATATGAGCTTTTAGGGCAACCACCGCGGTCACAAGTTCCTCAATCTTTTGTCAATTATCAAATCCATTCGTAGCCATTTTATCAATTTTCTAGCACTTCTTAACTATACTCTGATACCACATGTTATAAACTTTCTCTTGATAAAGCAATAAATCATATAGCATTTGGATTTATGTTTTTATATAAGTCAGCCAAGGATAGCTCGATATTTGAATAGGCAACCAACAAGTTACAAATTAATCTAAAGAATGCACAACGATATATTATGGTATAATGGGAGCACACCAAGATGACCCTCGATGTTTTTGTAAGAAAAAATATTTTATTAATCTCGAGAATAGTACCATAAGTACAAAAAGAGCATCGAGTCTTCCCACCATTGTTACGGCTAAAGGAGCAACCCTAGACGAGTGGTCTAGTACATACCTTAGCTAGTGAAGCAGTTCAATAATATGCTGATTGCTCACTCTTTTTAAAAAGCTTAAGAGATTTTTTAGCTATGCTACTAAGAACCATTACAATATTTGAAACAAAAACATTTTTTTCTAGCACATAAGATTACATTTCCCCTAACACTTCTACCTGGTCATGACTCTATACATGGGTGACTCATGATATCCTATGCTCGGTCATGACCCTATACAAGGTTGGCTCAAGACAATACGCATGTGAAAACATGTAAAAATGGATTAAACATAGATTTTTCAAACTTTGAACACATGTTCCTTCGTTGTTCTTCCTTGAAATCTAACCAAACAACCATAAAAAATCAACAAAACAACCTATTAAACTAACTTTTTTATGAAGAAATTAAATCAAACACATTGAAAACTTCATAAACTAGCCAAAAACACAATCAAACATATATAAAATGAACAACATTTGGCCATGAACAAGGTTGGAACTTTCAGCCAAGCATGGGAATGGCTTAACTGAATCTATTACCAAATCATACAATCATTTACTAAGGCAAATCATACATCAATCACTTACCCAATCACCATATGAAGGGATTTATACCATGAAAGCAAGAATATTAGCTAAATAATCAAACATTCACTAATAAACCAATCAAAATTTAAGTAAACTAGTAACTAAATCATCCATAATCAGCACAAAGAGTAAGAAAAGCATTTGAGAATAACCAAGAAGAGGTTTGGCCATGGTGGAGTTGCTTGGCCGAACCTTCTAATTGGTTTCAATAGTAGATTTATTCTTTGTTACGTGATTCTTTTGATTTCAATCACAACTATGGTTTAGTTGGATGAACTTTGAATCAAGATTGAATGAAAAAAGAAACTTTAAACTTTCAAGAAAACAAAAAAATATATATATATAGAAAACCAATATGAAAATGTTATGAAAAATGTGATGAGAATGTAATGAAAATGCAAGAAAAGGAAAAAAAATTATACCTCCTTCAAGCTTTCTTTAATTTTTTTTCTTTTTCTTTCACATTTTTTTTCTTTTCCTCCTTTATATCATGCCCAATTCTTCCTATCTTTTCACCTTACACAAAACCTTTTCTCCCACTAAGAAAAAGATGGGAAATATCCTTCCAAGATTAAATTCTAGCCCTTAGATTATAAATGCATCCAATGATCCAAAATACACCCTTGTTTTCTTTGCAAGGAGCTAGTTTTTACCATTAGGTCAAGCTCCCTAATGTCATTTTATGGTCCAAAATGCACATTGCCAAAAATTGAATTTTTAATGTTTTAGGTTCAAGTGGAAAGACCATTTTGTCTCATTGCCATTTTTTAAAAAATTAGTGTTCCTTTATTCATTTTTTTTTATTTTAAACACCAAAAATCATCAAATAATATGAAATTAAAATATAAAAATTTTTGTGAAAATCTGACCACCGGAAGATCAAATTAAAAAATTACTTTTAAGGGGTATTTTTGTAATTTCACACCTCTTAAGGTGTTACTGGAGTTTTAAATACACAAAAAATCATCAAATATTATAAAAACATGATCTAAAAAGTTTTATGAAAAATCAACATCGAAAATATCAAATTACGAAAATACCCTAAATGGTATTTTAGTGATTTTACACCTTCCGAGATGTAATCAAAGTTTTCAATATTCCAAAATTCATTAAATAATATAAAATCATAATTCCAAGCTTTTTGCAAAATTTTGACATCGGGAAGGTCAATAAAATACCCATAAGGTTATTTTTGTAATTTCACATCTCTCAAGGTATGATCTGAATTTTTAATATATAAAAATCATTAAAAAAATTCAATATGATTTGAAAGTTTTCATGAAAATATAGCTCCAGAAAGGTAAAATTATGAAAATAACCTTAAAAGCGTTTTGAGAATTTTACATTTTTTGAAGTACAATAAAGTTTTTCAATGTTTTAAAAATCACAAATTTCAATTTAAAACAACATTGTTTGGTCATGAATTTTAAAAATTGACCCGAGTTCTATCTATTTTGACCAGTTTTGATCAAGTTTGACTTTTTTGTTTGATCGAGTTTGACCTTGAAGAATTTCGATTAAATTGATCCCAATTTTAATTTTTTAAAATTTATCAAAATTGAAGAAATGTTGATTTGAACCGAGTTAGATTTCAAGAGCTTCACAAATGGTTGGATTTTGTTTGAACAAAATTAGTTGTCTACAGCTATCCCTTTTTATATATTTATAAGAATCGAAAATAATATAAAGACCAAAAATACTGATTTTGTCCGAGAGTTTTGCTTGTGTGCTAAGGGTGTTTTTGCTTATGTGCTGTTTGTTTGTTTGCATGTTGAAAATTATTTTTTTTAATAAAAAATCTTATTTTTGAAGGGAATCCTATGAAGATAGGTAACAAACTTTAAAAATTCTCAATTTGAAATGGGCTCCTATAAGTAACAAACTTAAATTTTATTTTTTTTGAAAAAGGGTTCCCATAAAAATAGGCAACAAACTTTAAAAAATCTCTTTTTGAAAAGGGCTCTTGTGAAGATAGGCAACAAACTTTAAAAACCATTTTGAAGAGGGGCTCCAATGAAAATAGGTGATGAACTTTTTTAATTGGAATTTCCAGCCAAGGAAGAATACTATACTAGTTTGCCCAATTGTGTATCAAATTTTGCTTCCTGTTTGTGTAATGGATGCACCGATATTGCCTTTGTTTGTTTTATCACTTGATATATTAATGCTAATGTATGCATATTGTCAACCAATTCTCCCTTGGGTTAGTCATTACAATTCTTTCCCTCACGGAGAGAGAATGGTAAAATACTGATTAAGCCAGCGGGTGAAGTGTTTAAGGTATGAGTTCATTAATGGTTAATGGCATAACACGTTGGTGGCTCAATTCATAGGTAGGGTTCCAATTTTAGTCAATTTCAACGTTTGGTAAATATGCTATGGGAAAGGAAGGAACTATTAGCATTATGTCGACTAGTAGAAATATGTTCATAATTCAATTCTCTTCCGAGAAAGACAAGGTAGGGTGCTCGAGACAAAGTGCTCGCGACAGGATCATGATATATTCAAAATAATCTCATTATTGTTCGTAAATGGGAACCAAGCATGAAAACCTTGGAGTTAAAGATGAATAGGTTGCCGGTTTGGATACATTTGGGAAATGTTGCTCTGGAACTATATACCACAAGGAGACTGAGTTACATTACTAGTGCTTTAGGCATTCCATTGTATATGGATAGAATACTGCAAATCCTGGAAGGCTTGCATATGCTAAAATTTGTGTAGAAACCGAAGTTGCTATAAATTTACCTCAATTCTTTGATGTTGTGCTTTGAGATAGAATGATTACTTTTATCTCTGTGGAAGTTCTATGGATGCCTCCAAAGTGTAACCAGTGTAAAGTATTTGGACATACTGATAAGGATTGTGCGCACAAGCCTGAGATTTAAGCTACCAAGGTCTGGCAGCAATAAAGAAGAATAAAAGGGTCGTGAGAGAGGCTAACAAGGTGATGGTTAGTTAAACATCTAAGATTAAAGAGAAGGATTTCAACTCTTGCATTAATGAAAGAATATAAATGAATCTTTTTGTTCATACAAGCCATAAAAAGAACAAAAGGAGTCAAATATATATAACAATAAGATGGTGTTTAAGTGGAGGTCCATAAGATCTACATATATGAATTCGTATAATCACTTACATTAGCAAGTATTTTTTGTCTGCCTTTTTTTAGTAGGTAGAAAATAAAGTTTTCAAAATCTACTTCTGGGACATCGAATTTCTTCCTGAAATAGCTTAATTTGTATTAGCTAAAACATTTCTGTTCTTCACTTCATACTCTAACAATGGTAAAGGTAGATACATATGGCTTAAAACAAGTGAGAGAGAGAAAGAGATGACCCCCCTTTTTCTTTTTGGTAAATCATAACAAATGTTAATCAAAGTACAACCAAATTCAACTATTCAATTCATATAATTTGGAAACAATTACAACCAATAGAAGGTTACATATAAAATTCACAACCTAAGGGAAGAGGAATTGGAGTCTTAAAAGTATTCATAAAATCTGTTGCTACTCCAATCAGTTCATCAGCCAAGATATAAGCCAAAGAGGGCTTCTAACAGTAGAATTGAAACTACCAGTCATTTATTAAAACCGGTACCTGACTAATTATGTATGCTCACTGTTTACAAAGATGGAAAACTACCAGTCAATTTATTAAGGCTACTCTTCCTAATTCAATGCTACAGCCCTTGCAGTTTGCTCTCTTAATTATAAGCTCGTGGTTTTATTGCCTAATTATGCATGCCCAGAAGAGGTCGTCAAGTCAAGCGCCTCGATCACATGATTGGGAAACCCCATGTTTCAGGATCGATTTCGTTGTCACATAGCTCCCGCCGGAGTTCCTCATCGCTTGTGGATCCATGTGCAAACTTGTTTAGTTTCTCCGTTATAATTTTTGCTGCTTCCAATGCTCCAATCTGCAAAAAATTAGAAGTGTTTTTAGAGAACTTCAAAATTGCACAGCTTTCAGTTTTACTTTTTGGGTGAAAAAATACAAGAGAAGTATAAAAATTGGAAACAGTGTATTAATTACCTCGGCATGAACAATGTGGAAAATTGTATTCCCAACGGTCGAGAAACTGGCGTTTAGCACTTCCGCTCCTTCTACATGAAGTATGCGAATCATCTCATAAAACATGAGCTGACTCTCTTGCCCAGTTATCAAAGCCACCTCTATTGCAGAGCCCTTTTCGCTAATCCTAATTTCCGGGGATTTCAAGCTTGCAGTATTGGTGCATCTGTACGATCTCTTTCTGCCCATTAGACTGTCCTTTTTCTCCCTGGATACCTTCAAGCTTGTTTCCAGGTTCTGTATGTAATTCACAGCTTCATCTATTTGATCAGGTAATGACAATGGCTCCTGCAATTAGCAGTATCCACATTGAAATGAAAACTGAACTTCTTAAAGATCAATTCCTCTAAAACTCAGAGCCCCGGCATCAATGTTATAAAGAAATAAAAAAAACAAACCTTAGAATTATGATGGGGGAGAAGAGAATTGAGCCTGGAGTACAAATTCTTCATATGATTTCTCCTGTTCTTCTCAATGATCTTCCTCTCTTCCTTAGCTGAAGAACAACGAGACCTCTCCATTCCCTTGTTCACTCCCAAATTATGAACCGGGTATTCCATTTGAAATTCCATTCTTGTACACGACTAAGCTGTCTTATGTTGGTTTATATAGACACTAACACACAAAGAAATGTGTCAAATAAGTAAAGTGGGTGGGAAAAGAGAAGTACAAAACGCCAAAACCGGTGTAAGCGAGTGAAAGGGATTCCGATGCTGATGGAAGGAAGGGTGGGACGAATGAGAACAAGTAGGCGTTGTCATTTGTATTACGTCACCTGTCACTGATCAGCAGCACTGGGGCATGGGCAGCCAGCCGTCGATTTAGAATTATATGTTCCTAGCATCACGTGCCAATATCTTCACTTGTTCAGCATTTTTTTTTTTGTTTTTTTGTTTTTACTAATGACTACTATTCATGATGGAATTTCGTATGAAAAGAATAAAAGTAGTATAATATTTAAAATAATTGTATTACCTGAACTTTCAACTTAAAGATTCATGCATGTTTTTCTTATTATAAAAATTGAGATCGAATCTCTTCATCTCAATAAAAAAAAAAAAAAGCTATTTCTGTCTGTCCATTTAACTTTTCAATATTAATATTTCTCCCGTCTCAAAAAATTTATCACTTTTGAGTAATCCCATTCAAAATATCACTTTAAAAAATCAATAAATTTTAACATTTATATTTCTTCTTTGCCCTTTATTATATTTCAATTTTAAAATTATTAAAAAAAATTCAACATAATAACTATAATTTTTTTACACCATTTCACTTAGCGGTCACGTGAATCAAGAATTGAAAAACAAATTCAAAGTTTAGAAAACAATCTGATAATAAAATCGAGTAAAATTACAAAAACAAAAAAAAATTTCTATAACAAAACTATCAATCTATATATAAAACTTTTCATTACAAAGTGCTTACAAAATCTATATAAAATCTTTTTACATTTATTGGAGCTATACCAGCTAACCTTTATACAAATTCACCATATTTACTTAAAGACATTTGTATTCAAGATTTACGAAAGTAACCTTATGGTTAAACAAAAACATACCAAAAGGATTGTCTATCTAACATTGTAGCATATTTTATATTCTAAAAACTTGCAAAAATATCACTATCCATCTAACCAAAAAATCTTTTTTCATAAATCCAAGATTTTTATTGCATTCAACTTTGAAGTTGAATCTGCAGCAAAGCATTTTGCGCAATTTTTGGTCACAATGAAGTTGGACTGGAAGTTCTCCATTTCTTTCCAATCTTTGCTAACCTATACGTGGCAGCCTAAAATTGTTTCCTCCATTAACTTTCATAATTTCAACCATGCAAGCTTTTAATGTCAAAAATAAATTGTTTAAACTCTCTGGTGAAAACTCATTAAAAGATTTTTTTTACAGTTGTCACTAACTCGTCAATTGTTGTAGGAGTTTCTTGGTGCTGTAAAGATTGAATTGCTTTAAAAAATCCAAAATCCAATACATTCAAATCAGGACTATTTGGAGGTTAAAAAAATAGCTGAAACTCAAATCCACCCATAGTTGCAGCTTGAAAAAATTATTCCTCATCAATGTCGATATGTGGCTTTACATTATCTTGTTGAATGAAAATTCCTCTTTCACTGGAAAGAGGCCATTTGGCTTTGATTGATGGCAACACTTTATCAATTAAACATGAGCTTATGACATCTTTAGTTATCAATAAAATAGGTTTAGTTGCTAGAGTTCCAACTAGTCGATTTTCGCTATTACGACCAGCTGATTCCTTGTATACAAATGGGAAAATCCCTATTTTTCTAGAAAATGTTTTTGATCAAAATGTCCTTTTTCTACAAGTCTAAAATGATGTTTTTAACATGTTTAAATTTTATTTTTGACTAAAAACATCAAAATCTTTGATTTGAAATTAAAAAAAAGCTACAATTTTTTACTGTTTTATTACTCTAGTAGAAAAAGGAATCGATTCTCTCTTTAAAGAATTGATTGATTTTTTGGTCAAAAAGCAAATTTGGTTTGATAAAGCAAGAAGGAATCAATCACCCTATATGAGGGATCAATCACTCCAGTAACAGGATCGATCCCTTCATAGAGGTAATAGAAAATAACCAACAACGATAAATAAAAAAAGAAAAAAAAAATAGAAAAATTAAAAAAATCCAAAACATTATAAAAATTTATGAAAATATAAATAAAGAAAGAAATAAAAAATCAACCAAAATAAAAAATAAAAATAAAATAAGAAAAAAATATTAAAGCAAAACAAAAAAGATAAATAAAATACAAAAATATAAAATATAAAATAAACAAAAATACAATAAAAAATATAAAAAGTAAGAAAATCAAAAATAATGAATCAAAAATAAAAAAATAAAAAAAGATAAAAATTGAATAAAAATTTCAAAAATCAAAGGAAATGACAAAATAGAAAAAAATATTTTAAAAAATACAAAAAATTGAAAAGCATATAAGAAATAATAAGAAAATAATATAAAAAATCAAAGAAAAAAATTAAAAAAGAGAAAAGTTATTGCAAAATAAAAATAAAAACCAAAGAAGAAAATGCAACAAAAAAAAAGCTATAAGAATTTGAAAATGAAAATAAGAAATAAAAAGAAATTTTTGAAAAAATTAAGAAAAGAATAAAAATGAAAAGACAAAAGATTTATGAAAAATAAAAAATCCAAAACATTCTAAAAATTTATGAAAATTTAAATAAAGAAAGAAATAAAAAATAAACCAAAATAAAAATAAAATAAGAAAAGAATATTAAAGTAAAACAAAAAAGATAAACAAAGTACAAAAAAAAAAAGAAAAAATAATTAATCAAAAATACAAAAATTGAATAAAAATTAAAAAAGTGAAAAAAAATGACAAAATAAAAAAAATAGTTTTGAAAAAACAAAAAATTGAAAAACATATAAGAAATAAAATCAAAACAATATAAAATGTCAAAGACAAAAAATTAAAAAAGAGAAGTTATTGCAAAATAAAAATCATGCAAAATGCCACCAAATTCATTTTGAGTATTCAAATGGGTTAGAATCACATGTGCCAAGCTTTTGTTACACCTTCTTAACATTTAACCTTTTGACTTTAGATTTTGACTTTGACCATAAATTTTTCAATAATTTTAAACAATAATAATAATAATAATAATATTATTATTATTATTTTTTAATTAAAAAGGGTATTCATTATGAATATTTATCTGATTATACTTTTAATCTTGAAACAAGTATTTATACTAAAATTAAGAATTTGTTTTCAATGCTTGAACTATTATTTCTCATTCAATTTCATTACTTTTATAAATCTCATGTGCACATACAGATGAAAATTATCTCTTAATGCAATGCATAAGTGGTTAAAATACTTGATTATTGAAAAATGCTAAATTGATTATTTCTTGATTTTTTGTGAAAATTTTGAAATATATTTTTATGTTTGATTGTTATGTCACAATTCATTTGATTGTCTATGATATTGGATTGTGATGAAATATTTTCGAAATATGCTTGCTTTTGTGCTTAATTGACTTATTTCTTGATTTGTAATTTTAATTTGATGCTTGATGAGCTAATTGATCTTAAATGAAATATATTATTGGCTCATCTATTGTTCTTGTCAAGTATGTGTGCATATATGAATATGATTGAGTTTTACTTGACATGCTTGCAACATGGATTAAGTAATTTTCTTATAATGCTTATGTTTCTCTTAAGTCATTGTTGATTATAGCCTATAATTTGTGTAAACATATTTATGCTTTTGTGATGAAATTTTTTTGATTATGTTTTTGATGATAAATATGTCTTTCTTAAGTTTTTTGAATTCTATAGGGCCTGAAATTGGTTTTGATATATTCTTTGGTGATTTATTAAATATATATGAATATTGAATATATCTATTTTGTGTTCATGATGATCTAAAAGTTAGAATTTTGCACATTACATGAGAACTTTAGCTTTGGTGCTAATATTGTGATATTTGATGCTTAACTTGATACATGGCCTTTAGTTTAAGTTTATATATATATATATATATATATACATATATATATCCTTTCCAATTGGAAATTGAGCTTAGTGAACAAAATTTCTTTTTTCTATAATGATTAGAATATGGAATTTATTTTCTAACAACTGATCTAATTTTTATCAATTGATTTTCTTAATGCTTTTAATGAAAATCTTTTGTCAAGAAATTTTTTTAGGTCTATGCTAAGAGAACTTAAAATGAGCATGAATGAACTTACATTTTTGGGATTTTAAGTGAAACAAGCAAAGCAAGTCATCTTTATCAATCAAGTCCAAGTATATCAAAGACTAGCTCAAATTATATGGAATGGAGGATTCAAAATCTCACTTAACTATAATGAGCACAACAACATAGCTTGATAAGGATTGAGGTAATTATATTGAATCTATGTTATGTGCCTATGATTGATAATATTTAATGCATGATTTGATAAATGCTTGCTTTGATATGTGCAAAAATGAGATATTATGTTTGAATTTGTGAACACTTTGTACAAATTAATCACCAAGCTACTTGATAGAATTTGTCTTAACTTTGTTAAATGCTTGGATTGATTAATATTCATGCCTAGTTCTTGATTGCTTTGATTAATAGTTTTTATTGCATGAATATTTGTTTGAATCTTTGGTCATGGATATGAGTTAAATAGACTAATTTCTTTAAACATGTTCATTGATTGAGATAAATGAGATAGCAAGTACAACGTTATGTGTAAATGTTTGTATCTTTATTGGTATATTGCTAAATGTGATTTGAAATGTTCTTGCATATGCTTGTATGATTTTGATTGAAAAATATGTTTGAATTATATTTATGTACTTGTATATGTTTGGATTAGGAATATTGCTTTACATTGAAATAATTTGAAATATATTTGAATAATTATACTTTTATTATTTCTTTGTTATAGCTTATTTGTTCATCATGTTTGAAAAATGTTTGAATAATCTTTGATATGGCATGATGATAATTGAACCTTATTGCTCAGTATTCTTGCTTTATTAAATACATATGAGCTTTTGGTTCTTGTTTGGATATGATAACTTATGAAAGATTACT